TGTCCAATGAATGGACGACCTTAGCACACGTGTGGTTTGGTTTACAAATTTTGGTTCACTTGCAAAAAGAGCAGTGTGAAAGCGAACCGTACCAAAAAAATAAAAATAATAATTTATTTGGTCCGGACCAAAGCAAGTGAACTATCGGACTTTCCTGGTGTGAATACACCCTAAAATTTTAAAACTACTCATTTAAGTGTTGAAAGCACACTCTTAGAAGAAAAGGTTCTATCAGCGCTACTGTACGTATTTGGAACCCCTAAAAGGTTCTATACACTCTTAAAAAAGGGTTCCTCTGGGTTCTGTATAGAACCCTGGGGTTCCATACTTGGCCAATAGAACCTTTTACCAACAAAAAAAATGGTTCTATATAGAACCATTTTGGAGTTCCATATATGAAGCGGGGGATGGAACCATTTCTGATTCTAAATAGAACCATTTCTTCTAAGAGTGTACATTTTTTTCCTGCTGCATTTATTGAATCCCATTTCCTGTGTGCCAGGGTGGAAGTGGTCCGCGCTTCCTTCCATCTTTGTTATCTAAGTGTGTGGTATCACAAATCTGCATTGCAGCTGTCGACTCGCTCTCTCAAGTAGACCTGCAGTTTTATGGCGTTTACCACAGACGCTTCCCTCCACATAGTTTTCTTCTAGGTTCTGGAGTACCTCAGGGTTCAGTCTTGGGCTCCCTTATTTGTGGAGGAAATGTTGGGCCAACAAATGGCAGTTTGATGCAGTCGCCTTTCTACAGTGAGATCTGAATGGGCCGGTAATGAGATTTCGCTCTTATTGTTGCGACACTGACAAACGACACATCCTCGACTCCACATCAAAGACCTCAGAGATAGATTTACCACAAAAGACTTTCCCCTATGTCCCTACCGTCCACACCCAGGGAATTATGGGGGTCTTGTCACACAAGCATAACTCACAAGCACTGTATGAAGTCTCCAATCAGTTTGTCACGTTCTGTGGATCAAAAGCGTAAAATAGCACATATGTAGACAATCACGGGGAACTTGCACACGCTGCCAACTAAGTGCTTCTTTGACAAGTCCTGGTGGTTTTATTTAGCTTTGTCTTCATTTTTATGAGACTTGAAGAAGGGAAGTGTATCATTTTTATGAATTTAAAATAGTTTCTTTTATTCAGGAACTTGATCAGATTGGTAATTTGACAATGATTTGTTCAGTCTGGTTTGTGAATTAATGGTTCAGTTCGATTTGTGAAGGATTCATTCAGTCTAATTTGTGAATGAATGGTTCACTCAGATAAATGATCGGATTGTTCAGTCTGATTTTTAAATGATTCATTCAGTCTAATTTGTGAACAAAAGGTTCAGTGGTCATTCTGTCCATTTTATGAATGATTCAGTTGTATTTATGAATGATTTGTTGAGTCTGATTCGTAATCAAATGCTTTAGTCCAGTTTGTGAACGAAGCGTTTAGTTCAGTTTGTGAAAGAGTCATCTGTTCAGCTTGTGAATGAATGAATCGTTCTGTCCAGTATGTGAATGAATGAATCATTCTGTCTAGTTTGTGAATGAATCTTCTGTCCACTTTGTGAACAAATCGTTCTGTCCTGTTTGTGAATGAATCTTCTGTCCACTTTGTGAACAAGTCATTCTGTCCAGTTTGTGAATGAATGAATCGTTCTGTCCAGTTTGTGAATGAATTTTATGTCCACTTTGTGAACAATTCGTTCTGTCCAGTTTGTGAATGAATCTTCTGTTCACTTTGTGAACAAATCATTCTGTCCAGTTTGTGAATGTATGAATCGTTCTGTCCAGTTTGTGTTGAATCTTCTGTCCACTTTGTGAACAAATCATTCTGTCCAGTTTGGGAATGAATCTTATGTCCACTTTGAGAATGAATCATTCTATCCAGTTTTTGAACAAATTCTTCTGTCCACTTTGTGAACGAATTGTTCTGTCCAGTTTATGAACAAATTCTTCTGTCCACTTAGTGAATGAATCGTTCTGTCCAGTTTGTGAATGAATGAATCGTTCTGTCCAGTTTGTGAACGAATCGTTCTGTCCAGGCAGTTTGCGAACAAATTCTTCAGTCCGGTTAGTGAACACTTTGTGAACAGAACGCAAATAATGTTTTAATAAACTGCACTTAAACATAATCTCTCCAGGAACTGTAGTTATTGTTAGCTACTTCATTCACCCTGGGGGATTTTTTGGAGTTACTCATATTTCAAGCTGACACGTTGTATTTAATTTCATAAGACAGGTTTTTACAGCAGTGTTCGCTTATTTAAAATGTCTTGACAAAACTTGGCTTCATATTAATGACCTTTAAATGAACAGTTCACCCTCTGAAGACAGACTTAAAACTGAACGTAGGGACATGTTTTGGTCTTTTGTTCTTACCCTGTGATTGACAGGTGGAATAATTGTGAAATGCTTCTGGTTCATTCCAGAAATCTGTACTACAAACTCCCTAAAACCACAAACAAATGTAAAACCATAAGATCATATAGTAATGTTCATTTAAAGTGAGCAGAACGTAGTTGAAATTTGTATTTATTTTTTGTATATATTCTGTGTCTTGACAACGTGAAGCGGAAGAGCATTAACTCCCATTTGGAATAAATCAGTTCCGCAATGTGACACATTTCTGTGGTAAAGTTGAAATTAAATGGGATGTATTACTGTTATACTTGTGTAAAAAGTAAATGGTGTTAATTGTGATCTCAAGTTACTACTAATTCTGTGTTTAAGACTGGACGGCCCACTGACAAACCTCTGAAGTGATAGATAAGATCTGTTTCCCATTCCAAGTGCAAGCCGACACCTTTTAAAGTTAACCGGCCCCAACAAGTGTGTGTGTGTGAGAGAGAGAGAGAGAGAGAGAGAGAGAGTTAGATGGTCTTGTTCAGGGGAAATGTCAAATCTTCAGTTCTCTCTCATGTTATGTGATGTACGTTTGAAATTCTCCCTTCAATGTGCCTCACCGCAGTCCTGATCTCATTTGCACTCTCTCGCAGTCACCTCCACTTGAGGAAAATGAATCTTCAGTTTAAAGCGAGCAGGATTTAAGCAGTCTGAGGAAAATGTCAGCATGTCTGCCTGAACGACTATTGACAGAAAGATCTGTGAAGCAGAAAGCAATTTAAGAAGAAAAGGGCCAGTTTACTGTCACTGTGCGTCGCAGAATAACCATGACACTCTGCCATTATCACTAAACACAAGTCAATGGACATGCCGCAAAAACAAACAAATAACAGTATGAGGTTTGTTAAGTCGCTTACTGTGATAAAACCAACAGAAAGGTGTTTAAATTGGACAGATACTCAATCAGATCACTTGTCAATCAGATCACAAGCTAGCCTTAACTGGTGTGTTAAGGCTAGCTTCACTATTGCTAATAGTTAGCATTAGCAATCTCTTATGAGTTTGTCTAGTAAACAAGCACATAAAACAGCCAAAACACCTTAGCAATCACATAGAAAGTACTTAGAAGATGTTAAAACACATCTGTCTGTCTGCCTTGTGGTATCTATCTATCTATCTATCTATCTATCTATCTATCTATCTATCTATCTATCTATCTATCTATCTATCTATCTATCTATCTATCTATCTATCTATCTATCTATCTATCTATCTATCTATTCAATTCAAATTGCTTTATTGGCATGACTGTACATATTACAATATTGCCAAAGCTTGTAACACATAGTATAGTGAAGACAGTAATAATAACAAAGTATTATAACAACTTAAATTAAAATGTACAACTTAAATTAATTTCAAAAAATAACAGTGTAACAGATTATAATTTCTATGAACGTTTGATAACACAGTGTTTTAACATACATATATACACACATACACACATTACTGAGGGTCACTGTGGTGGACATTAGGGAAACACACTGAGGTTATCTATCTATCTATCTATCTATCTATCTATCTATCTATCTATCTATCTATCTATCTATCTATCTATCTATCTATCTATCTATCTATCTATCTATCTATCTATCTATCTATCTATCTATTAGTAATCTCTCTCTCTCTCAGTCAGACAGACAGACATGTTCACAGCATCTACTTTAAGAGCCGATGACTTGCAGATGTGACGTGTAGCAGATAAATATACGCTGGATCCGTGTCTTCCAGAAGGGCTGTTTCTGCTCCAGTGCCTCCGCACCTGGGCAACTGCTCTATAGCCAACATGATATGATTATTAGATCAGTTTGGTGTGTGTGTGTGTGTGTGTGTGTGTGTGTGTGTGTGTGTGTGTGTGTGTGTGTGTGTGTGTGAGTGTGTGTCCCATTTAAACCTGCTCCTGTAGTCAAATTTATATTCATGATTTTTTGATTACTTCACATTTTTCCTGTGTCAATGAAATTTGAACATATCAACTCGGAGGATAGAATTAAATACTACATCTAAAATATTTTTGTTATTTTATTGAGAAGAGTATTACTCTTAAAAATGAACAGAACCTCTGGACAATATATATTGTCATGTGTACAGCATCTACTGAAAGAGCCAATGACTTGCTGATGGAATGTCTGTGTATAGCAGATAAATATACGGTAAGGTATTGTCAATTATATATTATAGAGTCAACCGGGGTAAGTTGTCACACATTTCTGTGTAGGTTTATTTATTTTTTTAAATAAAAATAAGTCAGGACATAAAACAGCAGAAATGGCACAGGTGTCATTTATTTTTATCTTTTATTTTTTTATTACATCAACACATCTCTATACGATGATGATGACGAATTTAGTTGTTAGTTTGAAGGGCAAAAATATATGTATATTCAAGAATCAAGACAGTCGGAACGAGATGTTTGAAATCATAGTAAACTAAACTAAACGAGCATTTTGTCATTGGAGATGCATCACTATCTCAAATTCATACTTATTAAGGCCTGTAGGATGCGCTCTTTCCCTCTCCCCGCTACACGAAAGGGGAGGATCTCAGGATGTCTTCAAGGACAGCCATTGGTTTACCAGACGCATATAAAACACAGCACATACCCAAAAAGTGAGAGGGCTGTAATTCAAGCAGTTGATGTATATCCCTGCAAGAGAGTGAGTGTGTGTAGAGAGAGAGAGAGACCAGAACACGGACAGAGGGAATCCGCACCTTTCCAAGAGTGATTATAGAAAGCTGTGCGTGTGTGCTCCTCCGCGGACTTGCGCGTAAAAACAATCAATGAAGGAGAGAAGATCTATTCAAAAACTGTCCCTTCAGCCCGGAATGGATCCGAGTCAGAGCCTCAAATGTAAGATCGTGGTCGTGGGGGACAGTCAGTGTGGGAAAACCGCTCTGCTCCACGTTTTTGCCAAGGACTGCTTCCCAGAGGTGAGATGCGTAAAATCCAGTGGGTGCGCAACTGAGCCTTACGATTTAGCCATCTACATTTGAATCTCTTAAGATCGACATGTTTGATAAGATTTGCAATTTTCTTTCTCCTAGAATTACGTGCCCACTGTGTTTGAGAATTACACAGCAAGTTTTGAGATTGACAAGCAGAGAATAGAGCTCAGCCTGTGGGACACCTCAGGTGAGTCTCAAATCACGTTTTTGTCCTGCATTATAAAGTGCAATATACACTAAATAGCCTATATACTGTAGTACAGGGGTCTTCATCCCTTCTCAGGACCCTTTGGTGAATAGAGAACCAGAGCGGAGACCTCTTGTTATATGTTGTATAAAATTGAGTGTTGTGTGTTAAGTGTGGTCTATACTAAGATGCATATTTTACTATATTATTAGCTTCTTTAGTTGTATTTGGAGTTGAATAAGTTCATATATAATAATAAAAATGTGTTTTAGATCAAACATTACCTTCAGTTGCATCACAGACCCCATTTGAAGACCCCCTCAGTGTATATATATATATATATATATATACATGCACTATATAATAATGCCATAACATTGTGGCTGTTAATATACGAAGAGTTCAGATGCAAAAGCCTCTAAATGCCATTTGAAATTTTCTTCTTTAATGATGATATTTATCAAACTTGTATATTTAAGTTCAGTAATTTCACTTAAATAACAATTAATTGGTAATTATCATTGCCATTTAAGTGAAATTACTGAACTTAAATATACAAGTTTGATAAAAATCATCATTAAAGAAGAAAATTTCAAATGGCATTTAGAGGATTTTGCATCTGAACTCTTCATACAATAAAGTCAGTAAATACAGGCCTTGTTACAAAGTCAGTGTTTTACTCATGAAGCTTCAGAAGTTGTATTTTATATTCATTTACTTCATGTTTTTTCAAGACATGTCCAGACTTGTTGTGTTTATTCATAAAGCCAGAGAACATTTCGTCATATTGATACATCAGTGTGTTGTGCAGAGACTAATGATGTGATTGTTAGCGCTTACATTTACGCCTGGATGAAAATCTGGATTTGTTTAATAGCTTTTCTTTCTTATTCTGAACGGTTGAGCGATTCTTGGTTGTTGAGTCAGTGCGACAGCCTGCCAAGCGTTTAATAACACTCACACTCACACACACCCTGCTTATACACTCTCACACACTCCACCCATCTGTGGAATATGATCCGCGGACACCTCACTTTTAAGGAATGTTAGGATGATGGCATCACCGGGAACGTCACTGTAAGTGATGTTTTGGATAAACAAATGAAACCAAAACTGTTGCCACAGCTGGGGTCGTGCTGCAATTCACACGTTTAACAAAACCAAACAGCCGTTACCACACTGGCAAATTAGAGGAGGGTCTTGACTCGCTCCGTCTGAATGTAGGGTATTGGTACGTTGCCAGAGATTGCGCCCGGATCACCCAGGAGAGATCAGACCTGCTGTCTGGAGGTAATCACAGGCCCTGTAAAGCATCCAGCCAGACAGACTGCTTCAGACGCTGGCCTCTTTGGAGCTTAGCTATGATCTGGGGTGATTGCATTCAGACCTGAACCTGGAGCTTTAGTTGTTTGGTGCTGTGTGTGTGTGTGGCCTGGAATGAACAGTTACTAAATATTTCCTAAGCCACCAAGCTTCCTAAATAGGTAAACCAGGAAGGAAATGCTGTTTGATCAACTTTAGCAGCTACGTTTTGCAGCCTGGCCAGGTACACCAATCATCCACATGCAAATAGTTTTCTAAGATATATTCTCAATCTGATTTAATTTCTTGCATCCAAACCATATGCCAGACTGGAGTCATTTCCTAAATCAAGAACCATGTGCAAATTTGACCTGCTAAAAGGCTAGCACAGCTGTGTTTTGAATGCTGTTATGCGAGAGTCTAGGCTTCTTAAAGGGTTAGTTCACCCAAAAATGAAAATTAAGTCATTAATTACTCACCCCCATGCTGTACTAACCCCGTAAGACCTTCGTTCATCTTCGGAACACAAATAAAGATATTTTTGATTGAATCTGAGGGCTGGATCACTCTTCCATAGACAGCCTGAGGGACTGCCTCTTGACGGCCCAGAAAGTCATTAAAAGAAAAGGTTTAAATATTCCATGTGCCTACAGTGGCTCAACTATAACTTTATCAAGCGACGAGACTACTTTTTGTGCGAAAAAAAAACGTAAATAACGACTTTATTCGACTTTCCATTACTTCCTTATGGGCGCATGCGCGAGAACTGAGACGAGACCGTTCTTCTTCGACTACTTTTTGTTACCGGCTGCTCACCGCTTAGGAGTTTTACCGCCCCCACCGTATAAGATGACGTACTGCTTGTAAACAGAACATTTTGCGCCTCCGGCTATATCAGTACGTCATCTTATACGGTAGGGGGCGGTAAAACTCCTAAGCGGTGAGCAGCCGGTAACAAAAAGTAGTCGAAGAAGAACGGTCTCGTCTCAGTTCTCGCGCATGCGCCCATAAGGAAGTAATGGAAAGTCGAATAAAGTCGTTATTTACGTGTTTTTTTTTCGCACAAAAAGTAGTCTCGTCGCTTGATAAAGTTATAGTTGAGCCACTGTAGGCACATGGAATATTTAAACCTTTTCTTTTAATGACTTTCTGGGCCGTCAAGAGGCAGTCCCTCAGGCTGTCTATGGAAGAGTGATCCAGCCCTCAGATTCAATCAAAAATATCTTTATTTGTGTTCCGAAGACGAACGAAGGTCTTACGGGGTTGGTACAGCATGGGGGTGAGTAATTAATGACTTAATTTTCATTTTTGGGTGAACTAACCCTTTAAAGGGTCGCTCCACCTCTGGAAAGATGAATGTGTATTTAAAATGGGTTATTTATGTAGAAGAAATGTGAAATTATTTTTGAATTTGGAGCTTTCTAGACTGAGAAAAGACAGAAAATGTATTTTTGGCTTATGTGGCTGAAAGACAACAACTCCCAGAATGCACTTGCTTCGCTGACCTAGGAGGCCACGCCTACTGGTAACCGCGCAGCAGGTAAACAACAAGTCTAGGCTACTAGTGAGTCTCCATGATGAGTCTGCCGAGACTCGAGTGCACAACACTGCCTAAATGTCCATATTAACACATAAAATGTACAAATTAACACCTAAAATGTATATATAAGTACCTAAAATGGTCAAAAGTTTACTTTTGAAAAGATACAGCCCTAGTGACAGCTTTTGTACCTTTTTTTCTGAGAGTGTAGGTAGGTACAGGAAAGTGTTGAGCTGACAGATGTCTGCGGTAGGCGTCTGCGGGCAGGGCCGCCCGTCTGGTACTGACGTTTGGATATGTAGTTAGTTGCTTGTTTCAGGCTGTGGGCTTCCAGTCTGCTGTTCATTACTGTGTAAGTTATTGTGTCAGAGACAGGCTCCAAGGTCTCCCCAGCGTGTGTGCGGTCTTTTTCTCTCAAACGCCTAAGTCTGGGATTTAACAAGTTCCAAACACACCTGAGCACATCCCAGATAATGAGGAAAGAAACATGTGGACTAGGCAACCTTGTGCATTGCCCTCAAATAATCGTACATTTATTTCCTTGGGAACAGTTGAAGAATTGGGGGGTTGCTCCTAGAATTGCCCGAATGGATGGTTTTCTTGCATCTCTTCTTTTTGCTGCTTTGTTTCCAACAGCTGCCACCCCTCCTCAACCAAGAGGCTGACTGCTCTTGTCATTGTCCACCAATCAGCTGTTGAGTCACGACCCCATTCACCATTTAGCTGGCGATATCCGTACTGATCCGCCATGGAACCCATTGATACAGTAGAATACATGCGTACCATTCCCAATTCAAACCGTTCGCTTTTGAGAAAGTACAACCTAGAGTTTTTTTTTCGTTGAATACAGAAGAGGTGAATACAAATGTGTTTCTTTTTGTTTTGATTGAGCTCAAATTCTTGCACACATCTTTTTTTTTTTTTTTTAGGACTGTCACCCATTGTTGATTTCCGTTTACGGCAATGCAAAACCGAGCAATCTTTGTTCATTTATTCCAATGTGCCATCGAGTCCGCCGCATGAATGTTTCATTAGGGGTTCCTTGAGTTTATTGATTCTAGGGTTTAATAAGGCCTTCTAAATCTGAAACCCAATTGTGTATGTGCATGTATTGTGTGTTATACGACACACAAGAAGTCAGGATTACACTACGGTGACGAGGGACCGCTGCTCTCTGATCTTCTCGATGGCCATGAGCATGCATGTGTATATCCCCTAACAGCCGATCCTCTTCGGAATCAGACCCCTTCCCCCATTTCTGCTCTTCCAGACACTTATTGACCAGAAACCCCCTGCAGATATGAAGCCAGGATCTTGACATGCCTGTCTGAAAGGTTCCTTATCCACCAGTCAGACCATGATCAATCAATACGTGCACACTCCACTGGGATCGTTTTGTTCCTTTGTGAGTTGTACGTTTTTACAATAAGCATATTGTTTCGGAAAACTATAGTGCCAAATTCAGTCCATTGTTCCTCAAGCGTCCTATCTCTTTGCTCCCTTTGGGCCGGTGAAAGATACGCTGTCATGACACAATTCGAGTCTTTGAATTGGCAAGTTTGATTGGGTGACCTTGTAAGATGCAGCTGAAATGTTTTATCAAACTCCTTGATCAGATTTCTGAGGTTGTGGGGTGAAAGGTGGAATAGATACTTCCTCACAAAAATGTAATGTGAATCTCTAGCACAGAGCCTAACAACTTACCTAACACATTACACATTACAATGTGATGTATTTTACACTGAAATAGGCCATTAAAGGAGTAGTTCATTAGAAAAGGAATTAAGTTTTTTGATGGATTTTCTCCATATAATGGACTTCATTGGGAACCAAACGGTTCAAGGTCCAAATGAGAGTTTTAGTGCAGCTTCAAAGGGCTTTAAACGACACCAGACGATGAATAAGGGTCTTATTTTGGACCCTTCGAGTCTTGACTCGAAAAAAGATTTGTTCATTTTGATGACAGTAGAGTCACGAACGCTCATCACAGAACAAAGCAAGGCGAGCATTTGTGCTTATAAAACTTAAACTTTTTTTATTAATTTTTAAATGAGCGATCGTTTCACTTCATAAGACCTTTATTCATCGTCTGAAATCGTTTAAAGCCCTTTGAAGCTGCACTGAAACTCTCATTTGGACCTTAAACCGTTTGGTTCCC